TCTAGGACCCAGCCCCAGTCCCTGGACCGCGTCGCAAGTGCTACTTCATGGTTCTCGTAGACGACTACTCGCGCTACACCACAGTGTTTATCCTGGAGCGGAAGGCCAACGTACCTGACGTTCTTATCCCGTGGCTTGTTGCTGCTCGAGTCCACTGTGCCCAGCTAGTGCTTCATCTCCACTCCGACCATGGCGGCGAGTTCACCTCCGGTCGGGTTGGCCAGTTCTGTCGTGCGAAGGGCATCACCCAGTCGTACACTCTGCTGGACTCCCCACAGCAAAATGGTTTCATTGAGCGACGCATCGGTTTAGTCATGGAGGTGGCTCATACCTCCATGATTCATGCCGGTGCAACCCATTTTCTGTGGCAGTTTGCAGTTCGCTACACTGCTCACCAGCTTAACTCTGCTCTTCGCGCCCGCAGGTTTTGCCGACCCTTCTCTGGACCGGGTCCCTTGGTGACGCGTCTGTGTTTCACGTCTGGGGCTGCCTAGCTCACGTCCGCGCCTCTGGCGTGGACAAGCTCACCGCCCACATTGCCCCTTGTGTCTTGCTTGGTTTTCCACTAGAAGCTTCTAACTAGGACTTCTACCACCCGTCGTCTCACTGTTTCTTTCACTCGTGTAACGTCACCTTTGACGAGTCTGTCTCCTTATACACTCCCTTTCCCCATCGTCTCCCTGCTACCCTGCCCCCGTTCCTTGTCCCCACTCCCCAGTAGCTCCCGTTCCCCGTCCTGCCTTGTCTGGTGTTCCTCACGCCACTCCCCTTCCTTCGGTTGGCCCGGCGGAGGAGTCTGCTGATTCCGGGGGCCCTGAGGTTCAGGGCAAGCTGCCTATTTCTGCATAGCCTACACCCTTGGCCCGGGTGCCTCCTCTGTCGTCACAGTAGTAGCAGTCGCATCAGCAGCCACTGCCACCGAAACAGCAGCAGCCGCCGCCGCCGCAGCAGGAGTCAGTGGGCTCTGGGGGTGTTGGCACTGGGGGGGCTGACTCTAAGGAGGTTTCTAGTTCTAAGGGTGCTAGTTCTGGGGGTGCCAAATCTGGGGTTGCTGGTTCTGGGGGTGCAATCGTGGCGAGTACTGGAGGTAGCTGTGGTGCGGCTAGAGGTCCTGGTATGGGCGCGGAGCAGCAGCAGCAGCCGCCAGTGTCCGCCCTTCGCCTCCTCGATCTTCCCTCTCCCGACCGACCCCCCGCGCTTCTCCCGACGCCGCCTCCTCCTCCTGTCTACGCTGAGTTTCCCCCGTCGGACTCGTCCCCAGCTCGTTTCCCCCCTCCTTCTCCTCCTGTGTCTCCTCTCTATCTCCCGACCTCCTCTCTTTGACTTTCTCCGCGCTGCTTGCCCTCTAGTTCCTTGTGTCCTAGCCTCTCTCGTTACCGACCCATCCATTCCTGTCTCTAGTCTCTCGGCTCGTGTCGCTGCCGTCGCTGACTTTGCCTCTACCCGCCGCCTTGACTAAGCCACTGCTCTAGTCTCTGACCCTGCCCATCCTCCGTCCATCGCGGGTGCACCTGCCCTTGGCAATGACGTCGTAGAGGACAGGCAGTATGAGCTAGCTTTCCTTTTGGAGGCACTCCTCACCTCTGCTCCATGCTACTAGCCCCTGAGGGTGACCTAGACGCTCTTGACATCTCGACCCCTCGCACCTACAGTATACTGAGGTGAGCTGTGTGTCTCTTGCTAGGCACTGCCCTTATCTAGCCTAGGGTGTGTGTCAACTTATACATTTGCTGTGCATGTTAGGCGGGTTCGTGCTCTTAGAGAGTACAACACCAAACCCTTATATCACCATGTATCCTCTTGCTAGAGTTCACTTCGTTACTCTGACAATCAGAGCCCCGTTCCTACCCGGTTAGTCTTCCGTTGAGTAGTCCGTTTATATCGAGAGAGGACCGGACAGAATAGAGGGTTGGCCAGCGGTTGGTGGGTGAGCTCGTTAAAGCTCCTCCAACTAGAAGCGTGTGCACCCTCAGATCTGTCAGGTAAAATTTCCAGCATGCCTAACACGTCAGAAACCTCTGCCCGTTGTATGGTTAGGAACGTGACCCAGGAGGAGTTTGACGAGTTGCAAGCTAAGGCGGCCACTGTGATGACACTGTAGGCCTAGCTTCAACAACTCGCCGATAAATTCCAGATGTTGGGCAGCAAAGTTCAGACGCTGCGCAACAAAAACTCGTCACTTCGCCAGGCGCGTGGTGAAACGCATCAGGGGTGGCATATTACCCGAGACGAAGATGCTGCGAGCGAAGCAGGGCATCCGCGACACCTGAAGCAGTTGAAGAAATCCACAGTGAGCCGCAGACAGCCATTAAAATCAAACCACCCATGTCGCCGCCGTTCAACCCGATCGGCAAATCTACTACAGTGAGCGATCGGTTTTTTGCCATAGAAATCTTCTTTACAGCAGCAAATATTAATGACAACGCTTCACATGTCAACTTGGCTGCTGCGGGGACCGGCACTCGACTGGTGGCGCAGGCAGAACACTGGACAGCAAATGGGAAGCAAGGGTCATCAGCAGTGCAGACAGAACTAATCTTTGGGTCAGCCATGATCCGCACGTAGAAAGCATGGGGCGAAGCATTGAAGAGCCGTTTCGAGCACATATCCATGCGCGAAAACGCTTGCACAAGGCTTCGGATATGGCATCAGTTGGAATCTTTCCAGGAGTACACGGCATCGTTCCTGTCGCTCTGCGGTCGAATCGGCGGCTTCAACGATGATGAAAATATTGATCAACTCGTGGGTGGTCTCAAGTCAGGGATTCAACAAGAGATCATCCTATGCGCCCCAACGACCTTCAATTAGATTGTTCGCATAGCAGACGCGCTGGACGCGCGACGTAGACTCGCGAGGGCGGGTTTCCGGGAGGGAAACACATGATGAAGGACCACATGAAGAAGGACTACACGGAGCTGAAGAAGAACTTAGCTAACGATGGGAGGCAGTCGGAAAATGGCAACAGTCAGTAGCTGATAGGCCGCCTACTGACTTGACTGCGTCACCCAAACGCCACCACCCCCACCAGGTTATCATGCTGATTTGGGCTGTCGACCATTCTTGGCTGAATAAGGGGGGTGAACCGGTTGATCATCCTGTGCTGGTTGTGTTGGTTCAAAATATTTGTTGATGGCGCGGCAAGCCACAGTTTGATGGATGTTACAAAAGTGAGGGAACTTCGATTGCAGCTGGAGCGCTGCATGCCCGAAATCGATGCGAGGTTGGTTGATGACACCCCAATGGCGATTCGGGAACGTGTGCCTTACGAGCGAGTCACCTGTGTCAAAAAAATCAGCTTTACAACGAAGATGCTGGCGACGACCCTGGATGTGTGCGACATGCTGTCGGGGCGCGATTGGCTATGCGAGTACAACTCGAGCATCGATTGGCGGACGGGCGACAGTCGCATCAAGTGGAGTGGCGATTGGCGACGACTTTCCAAGTGGAGCAGTCAAGAATCAGCCACGCCGACAGTCAGAGCTGTGACTATCAAGAGGGCGATGATTCGCGGAGCGCAGCTGTATGCCGTCCGATTGATCGTATCTACAGCTGTCGACAATCTTACCAACATCGACAAACTCAGCGCAGCTGTCCCCGATGATTTAGCATCGATTATTCGAAAGCATTCTAATATTTTTCCGGATGATCTCCTTGCAAGAAGGCCACCTCAACGCCCGCACAACCACAAAATCGAGCTCAAGCCCCGCGCTCAACCGACTGTTCGGGCCCAGTGGCGGCTGACTCAGCTGGAGTTGGATGAACTTTGACGACAGCTGGACTATCTGCTCGAGAAAGGATTCGTCCGTCCCAGCACCTCCCCGTTCGCTGTCTCGGTCCTGTTCACTCCGAAGAAAGATGGCGGATTATGAATGTGTACCGACTACCGCGCCTTGAGTCGGGTTACCATCAAGTCCCGCTACCCCATTCCACGTGCCGACGAACTCATCGACCGACTTCGTGGAACTCGGTTTTTCTCCAAAATTGACATGCGAGATGGTTACCACCAGATTTGCGTGGACGAAGCTGACTGCTATAAGACGGCGTTCCGGACACGGTACGGAAGTTAAAACACAGTTATACCATTCGGCGTAACAAACGCGCCTTCGACATTTCAGTTGACCATGAATGAAATTTTCTGGCCACTGATGGATAAGTGTGTCATCGTGTACCTCTTCTCCCTCCTGTAGCAGAATCGCCTCATCACCAAAGGCTCTAAGTGCAAGTTTTTTAAACAAAAGGAGTTTTTGGGCCACGTAATCTCCATCGACGGCGTTAAAACGGACCCCAAGAAGATTGCTATGATCCAGGACTGGCAGCCGCAGGCTAATCTCCGCAAACTTCAGAGTTTATGGGGTTTGTAAATAACATCCGCCAGTTCATTCCGAACATGGTAGGGGGAACTTCCCCTCTCACAGATCTGCTGAAGAAGGGCTCGTTTTTTTAGTGGGGGGAAAAGCAGCAGGCTTCGTTCGAAAAGCTCAAACTTTTCCTGACTACACCACCGGTCCTTCGGATTGCGGAACCTCGCCGTCCATTCGAGCTCATCACCTACACTAGCGATCTGGCCATTGGCACAGTACTGTTACAAGACTTTGGCAAAGGCCTACAACCCATCGCCTACGAGTCACGGAAGTTGAACCAGGCCGAGCAAAATTATCCTGTCCACGATAAGGAGTTACTCACCATCATTCACGCTTTCAAGGTTTGGCACTGCTACCTGACTGGTGCTGATGTGACAGTCCGAATAGACCACAAGTTGGTACAGTTCATCCATGCCCAACTGACACTGAATCCCTGACATATTTGCTGGCTCGACTACCCCGAGTCAAACTTCCATTACAGATTCACCTAGAAACAAGGGGTTAGCAACATTGCTGACGCACTAGCCCGCCCCTCGGTCCATACCGCCGCTATCCTAATTACCCAAACTAATCCGCTGCTAGCTGGCCTATTCACCCACGGATACAGTATTGACCCATTCTTCGCCACCAACAACCATCCCCAACTGACAGCCATGCAAGGTGCCTATCATCTAAAATCCGGTACCAATCAAATTTGGGTTCCCGCCTACCACACCCTACGGGAATTACTGATCCAGGAGGCACATGACTCAAATTTCTTGAGTCACTATGGCATCGACAAAACCGCCAACTTACTGGGCCACCATTATAACTGGCCAGACCCGTCAACGGACGTGCAACGGTATGTCACCTCGTGTGCCATGTGTCAACGCATGAAGTCCTCCCTACTTCGACCTCCTGGACTGCTGCAGCCGCTCGAGCCACCCTGCAGTGACGATGGATTTCGTCACTGGCCTGCTAGCCGGTCCAAGCTGTAACGACGCAATCCTTGTCGTCGTTGACTAATTGACTGAAATGGCCCATTTCGCCGCATGCAAAACGACAATTACAACGGAGCAGACAGCGAAACTGTTCCTCACGAACATCGTGCGGCTACACGGCATCCCTTCGGTAATCATCAGCAACCGCGATCCACGCTTCACGTCTAACTTCTGGACAATAACGTGGCTGCAGTACGGCGCACGTCTGCATCTGTCCACGGCATACCGTCCGCAATCGGACGGCCAGAATGAACAGACCAATAAGATGATGGGGCAGCTGATTCGTACGACATGCATAGACAAGGCCCAATGGGAGGATGCCCTTTCTTTGATCGAGTTTGCGTACAACAACGCTCCATCAGTCACGACCACTCAGTCGTCGTTCTTCCTAAATTATGGGATAGACCCGACAACCCCTCTATCGCCACTGATAGAAAAACCAGCACCCAGATGTCAGCAGTTCGTCGAAAATATCCGACGGTCTCAGCACATAGCCGCCGATGCCATCCTAAAAGCTAACCCGACGGCCAAATAGCAAGCTGATCGACGGCGCCGAGACTTAACACTTGCCCGAAATTTGGGGATTCCTCTCCCAAAATAAACTACGACCAATCCGTATTATTCGAATGGTGACACCGGTCACCACCTAGCTGCAACTGCCTGCTGACTGGCGAATCCATGATTCGTTCCACGTCAGTCTCCTGCGACTGTTCGTCCCGAGTTCCACTAATCTCGACCGTCATTATATCAATCCTATGGCCAACCCAGTACCCGAACCAACTACCGAGCCGACCAAGATTCTCGCTCACCGTGTACGTGGTCGTCGAGACACAACATCCGTCAATTTCCTCTTGGTTGATCGCACAAGTGATGACGACCTCTGGGTCCCTGTAGCTACGCTCGGCCATCACAAAGTTGTTAGGGACTATTTGCACAGGGTTGATCGCACAAGTGACGACGACCTCTGGGTCCCCTCGCTACACTCGGCGATCACAATTTTTTGAGGGACTATTTACACAGACGTCATGGCTGATTTTATCAGACTATTTAGTCTGATTAGTCTGAAATTTCAGACCCTTTTTTTGGCCAAACCTGAATTTCCAGATAACCCATTTTCCCAATCCTGATCCATTCAGAGTACGATTCTAGGGATCCTGAGAAAATCAGCCCCACACACCCCACAACCCCTAAAACTTTTCGGCCAAGTCCCCGAACCCTAGAGACAACCCCACAACCCATCTAAAATTTCGGCGAAGTCCCGGAACGCTAGAGACATCCGCCACACACGCCACAACCCATTGAAAATTTCAACTAAGTCATGTTGTCAGATACAGTTCTCCCCAACACCCGGAACAACCCAGAAGTTTTGAATGAGACTTTCACTCGTTTTTTTTTTTACTGCATTGGAATGAGAGTAAATTCCACATTCTAAACATAGGGAAATTCTCGCCAGTTGCCCGTTTGGTCAACTGAAAGTCTAGCAAAATGTAACGGTCACGATCAATTGCGATCGTTTCGACATATATCAATCGTTCGATGGAAGGTAGCGATTAACGTCCAAGATTTCCCAACCGGGGTGCTGCAAGGGCGCGAAATTTCTCCCACCGCCCTATGCCCCAGCTTCCCCCCTCCCTGCCGTTTCGATTTCCCCCTTCCCCTCCATTTTCGATTCCCCCCTCCCCTCCATTTCGCTCCCCCCCTCCCCTCCGTTTCGATCACTTCCCCCTTCCCCTCTGTTCGCTTCCCCCCTCCCCTTCGTTTCGATCACTTCCCCCTTCCCCTCCGTTTCGCTTCCCCCCTCCTCTCCATTTCGACCCCCCCCCCCCCCCTTCCCCCCCCCTCCCCTCCGTTTCGCTTCCCCCCTCCCCTCCATTTTGATTCCCTCCCCAATTCCCCGTCGGTTTCGATTCCCCCTCCCCTCAGTTTCGATTTCCGTGGCAGTGCGATTTTACCCCCTCGGTTTTTAGGAATGGCTTCCCCGTTTTCCACATTTAACAACTACGCAAAACGAGGGTAGACAGGGTTGCTGATTGGGGGGTGGGGGGGGTTTGTGGGAGGATTTTTAATGGCTGCAAGGGACTTGCCGATTTTTTGGGAGGTGTACGAGGGATGAATGTTTCTTGCAGTGGGGTGTCGAGTGACCCGCTGGGTTACCCTTAAAAAGATCCTCGGAGAAGGGCCACAGGTGCAGAGCCTGGGGGGTTATGGGCGCACTTACCCGCTATTTAACAACACCCTTTTAACCCAGTGGTTAGTGACTGGGTTTCTGACATGGGGGTGTTTCCCGTGTGTGACTCTGGTTGTTCGTGCTGGACCCTGAAAAAATCAGACTCGCTGAGTTCTGGACCTTGACATTATTATAAATTTTTAACACACGCAGTGTTTTTTGAAAAATTGTGTATTGTGAAAGCGAAGCTGATTATACTTTAGCGTTGGGCATCGTCGAAGCGCGCTACTCGCCCTTCTCCAACTACATATACATGGGTTGGAGCTCATTTACCTCCACCCACGTCTCTCATTTTTCAAACGGCTCAGTCAACTTTCCCACCCACCCCCCCCTCTGGACAACCGCGCATCTCCAATGGGCAGCCGGTCTCTCGAATGGGAGCGCACAACTAGGATCATGATGTGTGGATGTTTAGATTCTTATAAGCTAGTAAGCGACTATTGTACCTAGCCCACTTGAAATGAGAACGATGCCTATTGCAAAGAACAAGAAAGCAAGCTTTCTCAATTCAGACTGTAATATTTCGACAGGTGTTGCAGGAGACTAAGTATAGAATCTGCTAACACGAGTACTTAACCAAGGATCTTTGCTGGAATGGTAGACTAGTAAGACAGCGGAAGTCTTATCAGAGTGAACCTGAGCACATGAACTTGTGGGTAGTCGAAGGTTGAATAACCTGAGCACATAATTCTGTGGAAAGTCAAGGTTAATAATAAAAAGGCATTACAAGGATTTATAGCTCTAGGGAAAGTACCTGTTCGGCTAGTTGCGCGCCATGCGACCTATTCGTCATACTATATGGTCGCGACTGTTCGCGTGACTGAAACGACTCATTACGCCTAATCGCGTAACTGAAGCGGTATGCCGACGTCATTCCGAGACCCGCGATGCTTTGCTGACATCAGCACTCCAGCATGATTACTTACTGAGAAACTCGATACTGACCACCAAAAACGGAACTTGCAGGAATGCAAAACTTCATTTATCACAATACAGACTACCAAAAAATCGGCTGGAGGCCATTCAGACCTTTTTTTTAGGGGGGGGGGTTGGCTCAGAGTGCCTTTTTTTGAAACGTCAGCCCTAACAGACGCCGTGTCTCGGATGTGGGTAGTCTCCTCTCAGAAGGGGGGGTGGTGAAAGGAAATTCCCTTTTCCTTACTGGGCTCGTCTATAGCGCGTACGCCCTCGACTCTCGGAAGTTCAGTCTCGGCCAACTTCTTCGGTCCCGAACCACAATGCGAACCCAACGTGGCGCTTCCATAGCGTTCGCTAACCGAACCGCCCCAACCTGTTCGCGTGGTTCTCGGCTAGCCCTATTCGTGCCTATAAATGCCTAGACCTTCATTTGTATCGCGATTCTTGAATTACGGTCCCTTTATTACACTACCTGCTATTACTCTCATTAATTCATAACATGGTGCTTGGTTTGGTGCTTGTCACGTCACTCTTTCACCTAGTTACCGTATTCTCCCGGATATAGTACCCTAGGGAGCTAATAAAAATTCATGAAAATTTTAGGGTGGGTGGAAATAAAGGCCAAAAAAAAATAAGACCATGGTTCTATGGAACGTGCATATGCGTTTTTCAATTCCAAAATAGTTCTGCATGTTACACCACTTTGTTTTGTGTCACATGTCAACATCTCGTGTCCTCATCGCGTACCCTACAGTGTGGCCCTTCTGCTTGCCACATCGTCAGCTAAACTAGTCAAGTCAAGGACGAGGCTGGCAAATCAGGCAATCAACGAGTGTTGCAGGCCTGTCCTTACTGCCTCCAATCAGTGGGCGGCAGCGGAGGTTTGTTTTGGCGGGAGGGCACGAGAGTCGAGAATGAACAATTTGGATTTTGAGGTTTCGACTTTTTTTTTTTTTCCGTTCCGACACATTCGGGTTGACCACCAGCTCGTTTCCCCCACTCGCCCTCACGTTTACGCACGCAACTATGCACGGCAAATTCTGTTGTTCCCTGTCGAAATAAGGATTCTAATGTCAAACATGTGTAGTTATCATGTTTGTATAGACTGTATAGGGTCACCTTCTAGAGAGTACAACATTTAGGTATATGTTTGTGTACTTTCTCTCTCACATTATTCAATTCTAGGTTTGATATGGTATCACGAGTAGGTTTCGACCCCCCCCCCCCCCCCCCCCCACCTACCGCTTCCGCTCCTCCCGTCGCGTCTCCTAGCCTCGCCTCGCCCCTCCTGAGCCCAGTCGCGACCCCTCCCCCTAGCCCCGTCGCGCCCCTTCCAGGGCCTCGTAGCGCCCCTCCAGGCCCCGTCGCGCTCCCCTTCCAGGGCTTCGCAACGCCCCTCCCGGCCCCCGTCGCGCCCCTCCAGGGCTCTGTAGCGCCCCTCCAGGGCCCCGTCGCGCCCCCTAGCGCCCCTCCTGGGCCCCGTAGCGCCCCTCCAGGGCCCCGTCGCGCCCCTTCGCGCCCCTCCTGGGCCCCGTAGCGCCCCTCCAGGGCCCCGTCGCGCCCCTTAGCGCCCCTCCTGGGCCCCGTCGCGCTCCTCACAGGCCCCGTAGCGCCCCGTAGCGCCCCTCCTGGGCTTCGTAGCGCCCCTCCTGGGCTTCGTAACGCCCCTCCCAGGCCCCGTCGCGCCCCTCCTGGGCTCCGTAGCGCCCCTACTGGGACCCGTCGCGCCCTCCCTGGGCCCTGTAGCGCCCCTCCTGGGCCCCGTCGTGCCCCTCCCAGGCCCCGTCGCGCCCCTCCTAGGCCCGTAGTGCCCCTCCTGGGCCCGTAGCGCCCCTCCTGGGCCCCCATTGCTCCCCTCCTGGGCCCCGCCGCGCCCCTCCTGGGCCCCCATTGCGCCCCTCCTGGGCCCGTAGCGCCCCTCCTGGGCCTGTTGCGCCCCTCCTGGGCCCTGCCGCGCTCCTCCCTGGGCCCCGTATCCACCCTCCTGGGCCCCGTCGCCCCTGCTCGGCCCCGTCGCCCCAGCTCGGCCCTGTCGCGGCCTCTCGGCCCCGTGGCGCCCGCCCTGCCCCTGTCGCAGCTGCCCGGCCCCTGTCGCACCTGCCCGGCCCCGTCGCGCCCGCCCGGCCCCGTCGCCCCCGCCCGGCCCTGCTGTGTCCTGCCCCGCCGTCGTCGCTGCCGCTGTTTGTGGACTCTGGGGGTGCTGGAGTTGAGGTGGGTACTCGTCCCGGGGCTCCTGTCGTGGCTTGTCCCCGCGGGCCTGGGGGTGGTACCGGTGCTGGCGGTGTTTCGGGCTCTGGGGGTGTCCCTTCTGGGGGTGCCGGTGTGGAGGGTTCGGGAGGTAGCCGTCGCGCAGCTTGTGGCCCTGGCGTTGGTGTTGTGTCGCCGCAGCAGCAGTCCCCGCCGGTGTCCGCCCTCCGTCTGCTCGGCCTTCCGTCCCCTGACCCTGCGCCTGTTCCTCTCCGGCCGTCTCCCCCTCTTCCCGTCTACGGCCCCGTGTTCCCTCCGCCGGACTCGTCCCCGGCTCGTTTTCCCCCTCGTTCCCCACCCGTGTCCCCTCCTCTGTCTCCCGACCCGACGCCGCCCTCTCACGTCTGGTCTCGCCGCCCCTCCCGTGCTCGTCCTGTCTCCCCCGTCCCGCGCACTCACCCTATGTTGCTCCGCTCCCACGCGTCTCGTCCTCCCCTCCTCCCGTCTCCTCCTCCGTCCTCTCTTGTCGTTGCGTCTCCTCCTCTGTCTGACTACTTTCGTGCCGCTCGTCCTCTTGTTCCTCGGGTCCTTGCCTCTCTCGTTACCGACCCGTCTGTTCCAGTGTCGAGTCTTGACGCCCTTGTCGCTGCGGTCGCTGACTTCGCCTCTACCCGCCGCCTTGACTACGCCTCCGCTCTGGTCTCTGACCCTGCCTGTCCTCCGTCTGTCGGGGGTGCTCCTGCCCTCGGCAGTGACGTCCTGGAGGACCGCCAGTTTGAGCTTGCTTTCCTGTCCGAGGCTGCTCCCCATCTCTGTTCCATGCTGCTAGTCCCTGAGGGTGACCCAGACGCTTTTGACATCCCGACCCCTCGTACTTACGCTGAGGCGGTTTCGGGACCTTGGGCCTCTCAGTGGATAGTTGCCATGGAGCAGGAGATGGCATCTTGGAGATCCACCGGCACCTTCGTCGACGCAGTTCCCCCACCTGGGGTGAACGTGGTCGATGGCCGTTGGCTCTTCAAGGTGAAGCGCCCTCCTGGAGAGCCGCCTGTGTTCAAGGCGCGTTACGTGGCTAGAGGCTTCAGTCAGCGCGAGGGGGTGGACTTCTTTCAGACTTTCGCTCCTACCCCGAAGATGACTACTCTTCGGGTTCTGCTACACGTAGCGGCTCAGCGTGACTACGAGCTTCACTCCCTCGACTTCTCCACTGCCTTTCTTCAGGGCAGCCTTCACGAGCAGGTCTACCTGCGTCGTCCTCAGGGCTTTACTGGCACCTTCCCCCCTGGGACCCAGTGGCTTCTGCGGCGCCCAGTCTACGGCCTGCGCCAGGCGCCTCGTGAGTGGCACGACACGCTGCGTGCTACTCTTGCTGACCTGCAGTTCTTTCCGTCCTCTGCAGACCCCTCGCTCTTCGTTCGTGCTGGCTCGACTCCGTTCTACATCCTCGTCTACGTAGACGACCTGGTCTTTGCCACAGCTGACAGGGACGCACTGGCCTCCGTGAAGGCAGAGCTGCTGAAGAGACACACCTGCACTGACCTTGGAGAGCTGCGCCGTTACCTTGGCTTGCAGATCTCCAGGGACAGAGCCGCCCGCACCATCACCCTGACTCAGTCACACTTGGTGCGCCAGGTCCTTCAGAGGTTCGGCCTTCAGTTCTCCTCCGCACAGCCCACCCCTCTTCCTCTGGACCACAGACTCTCCGCTCCAGTTCCTGAGGAGTCGGTAGATCCCAGTGGTCCTTACGCTGAGCTAGTGGGTTGCCTCATGTCCCTGATGACTTGCACTCGCCCAGATCTCGCATACCCTCTCAGCATCCTGGCTCGTTTTGTGGCCACAGGCAGACACCGACCTCAGCACTGGTCTGCCGCTAAGAGGGTTTTGCGTTATCTTGCAAGTACATCGGGCATGGGGTTAGTGCTAGGCGGACGCAGGCCAGTGGTCCTTACTGGACACACAGACGCTTCTTGGGCAGACGACGCCGAGACGCTCAGGTCTTCCCAGGGCTACTGCTTTAGCCTTGGCTCAGGTGCTGTCTCGTGGAGAGCTACCCGCTCCTCGTCGGTTGCCCAGTCCAGCTGTGAGGCTGAGATCTACGCCGGTGCCATGGCGGCACAGGAGCTCCGCTGGCTGACCTTCTTGCTCACTGACTTAGGTGAGCGGCCTAGCTCTGCCCCGGTCCTGTACGCTGACAATAGGGCCATGATTCTCCTGTGTCAGGAGCCTCGACTCGAGGGCAGAGCGAAGCACATCCAGCTGCGGTACTTCCTCCTGCGCGAGCTACAGCAGCGGCGCCAGGCTCGCGTAGTACACTTGGCCTCCGGTGCCAACACAGCTGATATCTTTACGAAGGCGCTTGCGCCTAAAGATCATCAGCGGCACTGTTTACAGCTTGGTCTGGTTCCTGTAGTCTCTCACTTACTCGGGCCTTGACTTTGTACTGTCGTATATATATATATGTACACACTCAGACTGGACTTGTGTCCTCTCACAGTGGTTGGACTAGTAGTGCCGCCCTGTACTCGTTTTTGCCTTGTCTGTACTCCTTCTGACTGGTCTTTTAGACCCTTGTCTCAGAGGCTGGACTAGTAGTGCCACCCTGAGCTACTTGTCTAGAACATTCCCCTATGCAGTCCAGGGGGTGTGTCAAACATGTGTAGTTATCATGTTTGTATAGACTGTATAGGGTCACCTTCTAGAGAGTACAACATTTAGGTATATGTTTGTGTACTCTCTCTCTCACATTATTCAATTCTAGGTTTGATATCTAAGTGGCGGGGGGTGTTCAATTGTTTTCAAGCCCAAAAGTAGGGTGGTAACTAGATCCAGTTTAATTAAACACCCATACCCGCTCAAGCCACCCACGGGAGCTTAATTCCGGCGGGTACTGTATCCGGGAGAATACGGTACCAGTAAGCCGCCAATATGGTGGTGTACCACTACCACTGTTAGGTTGAACCCAACCAGTTCACCTTAATGGGCTTTTTAGAGGGAGTGGAGAAAGAAAAGCCTCATAGAACATGTTTGGACTGCTAATATTTCTCAATTGAATGCACCGGTACGTATAAATGTAATACAAATGATGCACTAGTTCAGCACATCTGCTGCATTATGGGGTTAGATTAGATGTCAGCTCCATGTGAGGTTGGCTGCTTCTCTATCTGTAGAGTTAGGCGCGGTAGTACACTCCAGGTGTAGTCCACATATGGATAGCTCCACAACTGTAGTGCTTGCTTGCTGGTCATGGTGTTCCCGCATCTGACCCGCCATCGCTTGTGAACAGTGGATGCTCTGAGGCACAGTCACAGCATAAAGGAACAAAAGCACAGCACAGCGTGTAATACCGGTAAGAAAGACGGCGCTATCCTCGAGTCACAGATCAGTAACCGTACGAAGCGAACCCTTTACGAACAGTAAACGGACGCTCTGCAGAGAGTAACAACACGCTTAATGAAAAGACCCCATAATGCTCAACAAGTATCATACGAAGACGATTCTCACGGGTTATGTACCTAGAGTAAGCTGCAGCTAAATAAGAGGCTGTGAGTCGGCCCATGGGGTCCGTCCATAGCAGCAGCGGCACCCGCGCCTTAGATTCTTAGCCTTTTAGCCTCAGAGCCGAGAATACCGAGACAAGGTGAGTGCACGTACCGAGAGCTTCAGAGGCCTTGAGTATGCCCATGGGGTCCCTTGGTTGGCAGCCCCATGGCTTCATCCGACACCTTCATCAACATACTGTCCCAAAGCAGCCCTTGTAGGTTCACGTACCTGGAGCCTCGAAAGCAGCCCTTGTACCTGGGCGATGTAAAAGCTGGCTGCCACCACTGCACCTAAAGCAAGCAGCAACACCAAATGCACGTACCGAGAGCTGAGGACGCTGTGAGCCGGTCCATGGGGTCTTTCTCCAGCAGCAACTGCAGCAGCTCCCTACCCTCCTCCGACACCTCTTCCATCTGGGGGAGGTGAACGCCAGCTGCTGCCACTGCCACTGCACCTAAAGCAACAACGCCACCTGCTGCTGCTGCCACTGCACCTAAAGCAACAACACCACCTGCTGCTGCTGCCACTGCACCTAAAGCAACAACACCACCTGCTACTGCTGCCACTGCACCTAAAGCAACAACACCACCTGCTGCTGCTGCCACTGCACCTAAAGCAACAACACCACCTGCTACTGCTGCCACTGCACCTAAAGCAACAACACCACCTGCTGCTGCTGCCACTGCACCTAAAGCAACAACACCACCTGCTACTGCTGCCACTGCACCTAAAGCAACAACAACACCTGCTGCTGCTGCCACTGCACCCAGAGCGGCAACACCATCAAGTGCACGTACCTAAGGCTTCAAATGCTGTGAGCCGGTCCGCTGGGTCCTTCTCCAGCAGCAGCTGCAGCAGTTCCTTAGAATTGAGAGCACAGTGGGACAACGTCAAACACGATGTACGTACCGAGAGCTTCAGCAGCCGTGAGCCGGTCCGAGGGGTCCTTCTCCAGCAGCAACTGCACCAGCTCCTTGGCTTCATCCGACACCTCTCTCCACCTGGGCGAGGTGAACGCCACCTGCTGCTGCTGCACCGCGCGGCGGATCCCAGCCTTTGTGGGCGCCCAGAAGGGCGGCACGCCGCACACCATCATGTGGAGAATGACCCCCAGGGACCATAAGTCTATCTGGGGGCCATACATTCCCTCATACACCTCTGGTGCTGCGAACAAGGGAGTTGTTACAGGGTCAGTAAAGGGCACTCCTGGGCGAGGGCAGGAGGCAGGAGAGGGGAGGGGGAGGGGGAAGAGAAGATCCTTTGTAGGCGCCCAGAAGGGTGTCACACCGCAGACCACGACGTGGTAACGACACCCAGGGACCAGAGGTCTGACTGCGGGCCGCAGATGCCGTCATGCACCTCAGATCACCTCAGGCGCCGCGAATAAGGGAGTCGTTACGGGGTCAGTGAAGGGCACTTCTGGAATAGGGTTGGTAGGAGAGGGGGGGAGGGGGGGCGAGGGGGGGAAGGGGAAGGGCCGATTCTCTGGTGGCGCCCAGACCATGATGTGGAGGATGACTCTCAGGAAACAATCGGTCTATCTACGGGGCGTACATACGTGACTTTTGAGTCGACCCAAAAGTCACCTACAGTAAGTCTATCTACGGGGCGTACATGCTATGGGAGATCTCAGGGGCTGTGAATTAAGGAGTCGTTACACGCCTTGATAAATGCCAGGTGCTGTGAATAAGGGAGTCGATACAGGGACAGCGACATGCCGCACAGCTGGTGCAGCATGGTGCAGGAAAAGAACCACTGCTGCTACACAGACTGGTACACACTGGTGCTGCTGCGCATACCTGGGGTGATAAATGCAGCAGACCCAAACCCGCTCAGTCTGGCGTCCTCCATGGGGCTGTCATTAGCTGGGAAGACCACAGCGTGGGGCGTTAGATTCCGGTGCGCCACCCCGTGCGCGTGGCAGTGCTGCAGCGCCTGCAGCAGCGCGTGGCAGAGCGCCGCTGCCTCGCTCTCTGGGAACGGGCCGTGGAGGCGAATGCGGTCGTGCAGAGAGAGGCGGGCGATGGGGTCCAGAATGAGGTGCACAGACTGGGGGGAGGGGAAGTGGGGAGGGAAGTGGGGGGGGAAGGGGGGGGAGAGGGGGAGGGGGGAAGGGGGGAGGAAGGGGGGGCAAACACATGCTGACAAGGGAGCTCTGTTGGCGCTCGGGGAACGGGCTGTGGAGGCGCACGCGGCAGTGGAGAGAGAGATGGACGACGGGGTCCAGAATGAGATGCACGGACTGGTGGTGGTTGGGGGTTTTGGAGGGGCGGAGAGAGATGGGCAGGTTATGTAATGCATGTTGGGTGTTCGGAGAATGCATCACACCCAACATGGGTGTAATGCATGTTGGGCCGTGCAGACGAATGCAGTCATCCAAAGAGAGGCAGGAGATGGGATCCAGAATCGAATGCATGGACTGGGGGGGAGTGGGAGGGGGATGGGGGGGATGGGGGGGGCGGGGGTTGGAACAGATGAGATGGGGTTGTCTCGGAGCCCAATGATGGCTGCATGCGGCTGCAGCACCTCCAGCACTGCTACGAAGAATAGCCGGGCATGCATCCACAACGCACATGCACAAGCACAAGCACAAGCACAAGCACAAGCACATGCACAAGCACAAGCACAAGCACAAGCACAAGCACAAGCACATGCACAAGCACAAGCACAAGCACAAGCACAAGCACAAGCACAAGCACACGCACAAGCACAAGCACAAGCACATGCACTTGCAGTGAGGAAACCAGGCTAGGATGCTGCAACTTACCGTGAGGCTCTCGAACTTGTCTCTGAGCCCAATGACGGCTGCATGCGGCTGCAGCACCTCCAGCACCGCCACCTCCAGTCCAATCGCCTCCGCTTGCTGCTGCGTCTGCGGGATGGGAGCGAGAGAGGGGAGAGTAAGAGAGAGCGAGAAAGGGAGTGGAGCAGGGGAGAAATCCTCTAAGGGGCAAGCGGCTGCAGCACCTCCAGCACCGCCACCTCCAGTCCGATCGCCTCCGCTTGCTGCTGCGTCTGGTGGGAGGGAGAGAGTGGGAGGGAGAGAGTGGGAGGGAGAGAGCGGGAGGGAGAGAGTGGGAGGGAGAGAGTGGGAGGGAGAGAGGCAGGGAATGACGGATCGAGTGGGAAAACGCGTTAATGGCTGCAGCACCCTCCAGCACTGCCACCTCCAGCCCAGCCACCTCCTCTTGCTGCTGCGACTGGGGGGTGTGAATACAATGGGAATAGGAACGGAGAGGCGAATGATTAGGCGAATGATTAGGCTGCACTCGGGTGCAGCACGTCCAGCCTCGCCACACCACCTCTAGCCCAATGGCCTCCGCTTGCTGTTGCGACTGCGGGAGAAGATGAAGGGGAGGGAGGGAGGGTAGCTCTTAGGTTCTGGTAAGAGAATTTATTAGGATTTGATATGATTTCGTATGATTGTATTAGGGTCTGATAGTATGATGCCTACTTGGATGCTCCTACCTGGATGCTCCTACCTGGATGCTCCTACCTGGATGCTCCTACCTGGATGCTCCTACCTGGATGCTCCTGCCTGGATGCTCCTACCTGGATGCTCCTGCCTGGATGCTCCTGCCTGGATGCTCCTACCTGGATGCTCCTACCTGGATGCTCTGCTTGGATATAGTGCGGCACGTCAGCAGGTTCCCTGACACGCGGTGCATGCATCTCCTCAGTAGACCATCTCCAGGAGGGGCGTAGTCAAGCCAGTCGTCCGCAGTCAGCGCATACTGCTTGCCCACTGCCCTCATGGGCCGCCGCAACACATTGAAGACCCTCATTCCCCCCTCACTCTCATCCTCACTCCCACTCGCACTCTCCCCTCTCCACGCCCCCTCCCTCCTCGTTCTCCGCCCTGCCTTCTGCCGCTGCATCCCATACCGCTTCTGGCCGTTCGTAACCCCTTTGCTCCGTCTCGTCCCTCTTCCTTCCCTCTCTACCCCCTCATGTCCACTCCCCTCGTCATTCTCCTCCTCGTCCTCTCCCTCCTCTCCCTCCTCTCCCTCCTCTCCCTCCTCCGCTTCCACTCCTTCATCATCCCCACCCCTCTCTTCATCCTCCCTCCAGCATCGCCGGCATCTGAACCATTTTCCACCCCTCACAACCCCACCTCGCCGCACCACACCTCTAGGCGTATCCACCCGTTCAGACACCGACGCTCTTCTAGCCAGAGGAGATTTTAATCCAGAATAGAACCGCACCCCCCTCGTCCCCTTCCCCCGGCTCCCCTCACCCCGCCTTCCTCCCCCTCCAGTCCCCCTTCCCGGTTCTCCCGTCCCCCCTGTTTCCCTCCTGCTGCTGAGTCCGCCCCCTCCCTTCCCCAGGCTGCTATTTAGCAAGCTGCTCTGAGTGCTTCCCATACCCTGCCCGCTGCCAATGCTGCGGTTGCTGTTGTTTTCCTCGTCTGAAAACGACTGCAGGCTCGCGATTTCGAGGTTCGGACGCGGAAAGCCGCCCCAACCGAGATGAGATGCGCCTGCACCAGGTGCGCCCTCCCCCTCTGCTGCAGATAAACGTGCGCCTCCCCCTGTTCCTCCTCCCCCTGCTGCTGCTCCACCGCTGCCTCTGCCGTCAGCAGCCCCTTCTCCAGGTGGTGATTCTTCCCTCCCCTCTCCCGCTTCCCTCCCTGCTCCTGCTCCTCCTCCTCTTGCCCTATCTGCCGCCCCTGCTACAGCCGAGATGCTCTGCGGCGAGCCCGCTACAGCCCACTCCACCACACTGCCAGAGTCACTCACATCCTCCTCCCCCCCTCCGTCTCCGTCCTCTCCCCTTACACCTTCCCCTCCCCCTCTGCCTCCACTGCCTCCCCCTACCACCGCTACCTGCTTTTGCCTCCCAAAGGATATTTCGCCAAGTACCTCCCCTCCCTCCGTGCCTTCCTCTTCCCAACCGCCACCCTGCATTCCCCCACTCTCTCTCCTCTCCCTTCTCCCCCCCTTCCCCCTCTCCCCCTGCCCATCCGCCCATCCCTCCCCCATGACCCCCCTCCTCGCGTCCTCCCCCTCCCTAGACTCCGATCCCCCTTTTTGAGCGCACTCATTTTCGCTACTAGAACGCCTGTGAAGTTGCCGCCCGCCCCCACTCCCCCCGCCGGCATGCCCCTGAAATTTCCGCTGCCCTTTCACCTGCCCGTGCTCCGAGTCCCCATCGCCCCCATCTTGTGCCACGTCAGCGCCACCAGAAGCAGATCTATCTATGCTGCCCGAACGACTGTAACCGTAACCATCAACATCTGTAACAGAGCCAGAGCTTTGCCGCGCCAGTTTCTGCCCCGAGCTGAGGGAGTACTCACTCTTTCCCCGCCTGTGTGTTGTGCCTGAGCCCCCTCCCACCGGCACACCCCCTCCTGCTGCCGATCTCAAGAGCTGCGGCTGCGGCTGTGGCAGCGGCTGTAACAGCGGCTGCCGCTGCAACGGGGGGCTGCCAGAGGACGGCTGCCGCTGCAGCGATTGTGACTGTGCCTGTTGTGATAATAACGGGGGGCTGCCAGAGGACGGCTTTATAGGAAAGCTGGCGCTGTGGCTGCTGCCAGCGCTGGCCCCTCTTCCAAGTCCCGACCCTCCGCTGCTGCTGGCGCCACTGCTGCTGCTCCTCCAACTACCCAATCCGGTGGAGCCACCTGTTGAGTGGCTTCGGCGGGAGGGAGACGGGTTGCGCAGGGGGCTATTGGACGTTGATACACCACTTGCTACACCTCCTATGGCAGCAGCAGGAGGCACAGATCCGACCCCTTTGGTTGGCGACACCCCTCTTGGCTTCTCCCACCCTCCAGAACCGCCACTCCCTCCTCCCGGGGCACCTCCAGACCCGATACTCCTGCTCAGAGGAATCGCCCCACTGCTGCTGCTGCTGCTGCCGCCGCCGCCGCCGCCACTGCTGCTGCTGCCCCCGCTGCCAGATCCCCCTGCAAATCCACTCGTGCCGCTCCCATTCCCGCTACTGCTGCTGCTAAACCCGGACCCCGCCCCTCCGCCAACCCCCCCCACAACACCCCCCCCCATCCCTCCAGTCCAGCTGCTAGCCGCGCCATGCGCCCCCATACCCAACCCCGCCCCCCCGTCTGACTGATGGTGGGGGAAGGGCGGGAGAGGCGCTAGGTTAGATGCGCCTATGGGGCCGACCCCGCGGCTGGGGCTGCTGTTGGGGCTGACTCGATTAGGGGAAGAAGTTCTAGAAGACTTTCTGCCACTGTCACTAGACGACCGGGGGAAGTGCACAGAGGCGCGGTGATGCAAGGCGTAGGGGGGGGGGCTTGCTGCTGTGTTGACGCCCTCACCACCACCAACACCACCAGCACCACCAGCACTAGTGCCAAAACTACTGTTACAAGCGCTAGGGTTACCGTGGAAGCTGTTGCTCCCGTGAAGGCTAACCGCCCCATGTATCCCCCTACCCCCGTGCACACTCTCATCCGCGTTAACACCATCTCCGCCACTCTCTATCACCAATATATCCGCCGAGCTCCCGCCAACGGCAACCCCCCGTTCCCCTCTCTGCGCCACCCCCGTGGTTAGCGCCCTCTTTAGCTCCGCAAGTGCGCCACCTCCCGCTGCCCCTCTCCGCTCGTCCCTCCCCTTCCCCGCATCGGGGGAGTCTAGCCCCCCCCCGTGTCCATCCGTTGACAGAAACTGGTCCAGAATCAGATTGTACGAGTCGCGCCGACCCAGCTCCGACCCCATGCTGGCGGAAACTCCCCCCTCCATGCGCCCTGGCGCGGCGGACGCGAACGCGCGGAGCTGCCTTCCGCCTCCGCTTCCGCCTGCCCCGCGGGCGGCGGCGATGGACGTGGGGACGGAGGAGTTGCGCGGCGGCATCATCATTGATCGCCCTGCCCCAGATACCGCCTTCCCCTGGCTGGAAAACGACGCGGCACCGACCCCGCCTAGAGCCGACCTCGGCATTCCCGAGGCTCCCCCGCTGCCTCGCGCGCTCCCTCCTCCTCCCCCGCCCGCAGCCCCCCCTCCGCTGTTGCTCCGCGAGAAGCCCGCTGCGCCGCCGCTCGGCCCGCTGCCAACCCCGCCGCTGCCGTCTTTAAGCGCTTCTTCCCACTCCATTCCCTCCTGCCCGTGCGCCCCCGCGGCGTGAAGCTGCCTTTGCGCGAATAGACCTGTCGGGTCGTGCGATGCGCTTCGGGGAACCCCACCCTGTCGGTATAACGGGAGGTACGAGCCTGTTCCGGGCCTGTTAGGACCCGTACTTGAACGCTCCGTTCGTCGCGGCCTCCGGACCAAGCCGTCCGGGCCGGACGGTCTGATTGGGGAGGATTCCGAGCCTGCGTTAGGGTCGTCGTCCTCCCCGCATAGCGCCTCTTCGTCCAAGGTTTGGGATCGGATCAAAGCCGAAGGTTTGGAGATGAAACCGGATGCTTCTCCGTCCGAAGGCAGCTTGCCAGGTTCGGCAATTCCCCACTCTTCGCCAAAAGCGCCTCCGTTTCCATATAAATCGTTAAGTCTTGTTTCCTCGGTATCATTCGCAGCACCGGAGCCCCCTACGCCAACGGCGGTCATCCCTACTGTTCCGCCACTCCTTCCCCCTTTTCCCCCGCTAATAGCAGTTCCAATTCCGCCAGTCGACCGGCTAGATCTCGGAATACCACCGGTCAGCCGTTGACTCAAGCCGCCGGCACCTGCTATTCCTCCCCCTTGTGTTCCGCTTCTCCCAGGACCGTCGATTCCTGGATTCATCATGGATCGTACGGCCGACATGCCATCTGGTAGACTGTCCGGCGACAGGAGGTGTTTCGGCTCGTTATCCTCTCCTTGTTGTTGTTGTTGCTGCTGCTGCTGCTGCTGCTGCTGCTGTTGCTGTAGGATTTTCGAGTGAAGCATCAGCATTGACGGCTGTTGCACGCTGATTCGCGGCTCCGACTTACTTATGCGTGTGAGAGCGCGCGCGCGGTCGTCTAATGTCATCGCCGTACGTGTGTATCATCGCTGATCGATTGACGAAGCGCGCAAAAACACGCCGTGACCGACACTCGCTCGAACGTGAAGCGGTCAAACCTTCTTGAAACCGACGAACCACGAACCACAAGCCTCGGGTTTGCTCAACTCGGCCTTATGCGTAAGCTCGAGTGACGAAACACGAACGCTCGTGAAGTTATCAAAAGCTGGCTCAAGCGCTTTCGAAAGTTATCAGGCATTTTCCCTATCCTCAAACTCAAGCGCGGACCTGAGTCCTCCACTCCGACGGCTGCCCTAGAACGACCCCTCGAACTCCCCCAGCTAATTTCCCCTCGATTCTGGAATTTACTATCATGGGATGATGAGCTGGCATCTCCGATAAACTATCCCTGCCCTATTCTCGCACCGCGAGACCTTCATTCCCCTCTCGATGGAGAACAAAGCAAATTATACCGACGCTACTACTCGAGAAGTGAAGCATAGAAAATTATAGAGGCAAGAGACCTAGAAGACAGCTAGGCTAGAAGCCCTGATTCAGGGAGTTTTCGCTGGAGCTTAGTCATTGAGAACTTCAACTGCCAGCAGGCGGCCTTGGGGAATGTCTGTCAAAGAAACAGTTCAGTTCAGTCATGGGACAACACCACAAGGGCCACAACACCACAACCCAAGAAAATACACGTGAGGTGGGAGAAAGAACCCAAGGGCCACTGGCCAATGACCAATGGCAAGGAATCTGCTCCAAACCTAACCAAGAGCAAAACAGGCCAATCATCCTTCGGTTCCAAGTTCCATACCTTTGCCGAGGTTCGAGTGCCGTCAACAACAGCCGAACACGAATGAGGTCCGAACCAACCGACTGACTGATCGAGCGTGGTACTGTAGTTCGTTTTGTCGACTCCATTTGGTACAGTTTCACGAACCTCCAACGACTTTCATCAAACAAAGCACTCCACCGCACCCAGCAGTGCACTCAGCCAGAGGAGCTCTGCGCCATGCAGCAACACCAAAGCAGCAACCACTACAGTGTACAGATTGCTGCTCTGGGAAGGTCGATTGTCGGGTCTAACGAGTAAGATTCTAGGGTGGCAAAAGTTTTGGTGTCATTCGGATCACCGCACCGCAATGGTGGTTGGCTGGTCGCCTGCCTTGGCATCAGGAGGACACCACACCACGCCAGCCGACCTGAGGGGGGAGCAGTCGCGAAAACGTCGCCAGCATTTCACGTTACAGCCTCTGCATTTTTTTCTTCGGTGCGTGGCACACTAAAGGTTTCAATCAAGAACAGCAATGGCAGAAGAAATAGCATCAAAATTTCAAGATGTGCATAACCTAATCCTGCTCACAGCTAAAATATTTCACTACCACCCTTATCCTCCCTTCCCCCTCATTCGTTCAACCATCTCCCTTGCAACCATAACTTTCCAGGTCACAAATTGTAACATAACCTCACACCCCCCAAGAACATGCAAACCCTAGTTCATGCTCTTGGCGCAAGCAGCCTCTTCATGCGACGAGCCCTCGGCTGCACCTCCCTTCCCACCATCTAACGACAAATCACCATCCCCCTTCATCCCCTCCCCCATCCCCCCACCCTCTGCCCTTATCTCACCAAACCCCCCTCGCACGTGACCTCCCGTCCCACTCCCTTCCACAGCAAGCGAGGGCAGCTTGAAAGAATTATCCCTCAACGGACTCTGCCCGGCGACATAAGGGAGCGGTGGGCTGGAACCTGGGTGAAAATCCACCAATGGCGATACAGCATACCACGACTTATCAGGAGCCGGAGACGGCGGGAAACTGCCGTCCCTCATAAACCCGTTGGGCAGCTGCCCTCCAGCCGTATCCGAAGCTGTGTCCGAAGCAAACCCCGCTCCCAGACCTCTCCCGCTGCCACCGTACCCACCCGCTGCAGCAATGGCTGACCCAGCTACTGCTGCCGCTGACCCACCTTCTTCTGAGTATTGAGTGGTGGAACGACCTAGGGGCTCCTTGTCTCTCTCCCTGTCCTTCTCCCCCCCATGGCTACTGTGCCGAATGGAGTTACTCAGTGCCTGGACACGCAAACTCTCCTTCTCCTTCTCCTTCACACCACCTGCCCCTGCCCCTGCCCCTGCCCCTGCACCAGCGCCCGTTCCAACCCCCGCCCCAACCCCCATTGATGCCCCTGAAGCAGAACTTACCCCAGCCCCTACCCCTGCTCCTGTTGCTGTGCCTGCCCCATTAGCACCTGCCGCCACTGCTGCCGCTGCTGCCCCAACCCCATTCGCAAAGCTCAAGGAAGGCATCAAACTACCTGCAGCAGCAGCAGCAGCGGCGGCAGTTCCTCCTATTCCCCCGCCGCCCCCCCCCCCCCCACCACCACCACCACTGATACCAGCAGATGCTCTACCTCCTGCCCCACCTGCCCCACTAATTCCTGCCCCCACGCCACCTGCTGCTGCAGCAGGGGAAGGGGCAGCGCCTGACTGCGCCCTCTCCTCTCCGCCGCCCGTCTGTGGCACCAGTCTCACAGGCTCTTGGCTTGACCGCGTCCGCGCCATTGGATTCCCCCCCAGTGGGTTCCCCCCTGTCCCCCCTCCAGCAGCTCCGCCTGCGCCCCCCGCGCCCGCCCCCGCGCTATGCCCTCCCGCGGGGGGCGGAAGCAAGTCCCGTTTAGAGTTACTAGGGGAAGGCCTACGCGCTCCAGATAAGCCTGCACCAGCAAAACCTGCACCTGAAATCCCTGGGCTGGTGTAACCTGGGCCTGTAACACCTGAACCAGCAGTAGCCATGGCGGAATAACCCGACTGACCGAACGTCCCCGTGCTGCTGCTCCCTCCGCCTCCCCCTCCGCCTCCGCCGCCCCCACCGCTGGCGCTCCAAGCTCCGCTGGACTCCCCAGAAGCGGAGGGGGGCGCCGCAGTGGGGCTGCCGCGGTCTTCATACTGCCCGGCGGGCAGGCTGGAAAGAAAAAGCCCAAGGCGTTCCAGAGCAGGCGCGTCTGCGCCTGCGCCTGCGCGCCCATCCCGAATGCTTTCCCCTTCCACCTCCCCTTCGCCTTCCCCCCACTTGCTCCGCGCGGATGGCAGGCGCACGGGTTCGTTCGTTGACTCGTCAACCGTCGCAAACGTGGGATCCGATTCTTCCAGCCACGCCGAGATCCGCTGCCGCCCAGGCATGGCGTTCAGATACGATACGGATCCGGAGCTGGTCACTGTGCGGGATCCCACCGCCGCGGCGTAGTGCGTCTGGTGCTGGTGCAGCTGCCCGTGATGCTGCATGTGCTGCTGTATTGTCGTCGGGCCCGCGCTGCCCGGCCTCTCATCCGAACCTCCCCCTCCGCCTATGCCCCCCCCTCCGTTCCCCCCGCCCCCGCCGCCGGCTCCGCTGCCTGGTCTCTCTAAGCCCGAGGCGCCGAATCCTAGCCCTGGCCCTGCCGCCATTACTACCGGGCCCAGGTGGCTCCTGCCTCTCTCTGCCGCTATGGGAGGTTTCTGCGAAGCATCCCAGGATCCCCCGCGCCCCGACGCACCTCCGCCGCCGCCGCCGCCATGGGTTGCGCCGACGCCGCTCCCGCCTCCGCCTCCGCCGCCAGTGACGCCTGAGCCGCCGCTGCCGATCCCGGTGGCGTTTTCCGAGCGAATGCTGCGAATTTGCGCGGCGTGTAACACGGCGACAGACGACATCGCGACGCGGTCGTCGGCCGCCGCCAATTTGCTCGCGTATTCGCGCACGCCGGCGTCGCCGACGGGGGAAGAGGCGGAAGGCGCGGACTTCCGTGGGGTGGACCGCGCGGGGGGCGCAGGCTCCGCGTAGTCGTCGTTGACATTGTCGTCGTCGCCCGCCTTGGGGCGCGCGAAGCAGCAGAACATGGCCGCTGCTGGCGAACGTCGCTAACGTCCTTGGCGGACGTCCTTATCGCCCTAGTTTGCTCGCTGCTGGTCGCCCGCGAAACCCAGCCCTACCCTAGTTCGGTCGCTATGCGCCGAGCCTAATTAGCTGGTTCGGCACCGAGCCTAGTTCGCGAGCAATGTTCGGTCTCCAATAAATCTCGACGAACAGTGAGGCGAGAATCGATTACCTAGCACCTAACGCACTAGAGAGTCAGTTTGAGAGGTGTAATGCTGTGGGCCGGTAGTCGACTAGGTGAATAATGGATACGGCGACAAGGAATTGAAGGGTAGAAGCTAGCCTGGCATGCAGCTGCGAAAGCGAGCGAAACAGTTTCGCGAAATACGGGAAGAGCAGCAGGACTTGCGAAGAATGGTCACGCAAAACGGCCTCTGGTAGGCACGGACTCTGGTAGGAGTCTCTGCAGAATAAGCAGTCGCGAGATACGCGGTCGGAAGAAACGCGGTCGGAGAAGCATGGGGAGGAACGTCGTTTCAACGCTTGCGCTCGCTGTTGAGGAGGCTGAGTGGCCTGGGGCCTGGGCCGATGGCACAGCGTTATCGACAACAGACGGCTTTCATGGCGGCGGGACTTATCTACTGAAGAAGAAAGCATTCGAAAATAACGCATCAACTGCGTGCGTTCTGGAAGCGCGAGCCCCCGTACTAGCTCAGGAGTCAGGATGGCGGTATTGGGTCTTCTTACAGCCTCTCGGCATCTGACCCTGAGATACTGACCACGTGGCCCGGAATGCTGACACGTGAGGCACGGCCAATCCGCGAGACCTACGGCAGATAAGGAACATATTAACACCACGTGGCGAGAGGCGAGGTTACTCCGATAAGAAACCAACCAGCGGTGGTACGAGCAGGGTCTCCTCGGAATACCCGAAAACGGAGAAGGCAGAAGTGAACACTAGGGGAGCCATGGATGCGGTTCAGCCTACTGTAGTACTAGAGTTTCAGGTCAGATAGGTTTTGCCTGGACAGGTAGCGAAAGCGGGGAAATCGGGAGCAGATGGATGGGGTACATGCATGGGGAAGGGGGATCGGATAATTCCAGGGGCCCGGAGTTGGTGGAGGATACAGCAAGCGCGGGGGAAGGGGGTTCGGATAATCTCAGGGGAGAAAGCGGAGAGGCATGGCGGGTTACGATGCGGGGAAAAGCGGAAAAAATGGGGCTGCCGTTGACGAATGGGGGAAACGGGCAGCGGGAATGCAAGGGGTGGTTGACTTGGCGTGGAAGAAACCATAAAGAACAGGCGGAGCAAGTCTTGTGGCGGAGTTGACCTCGGGAACAGCGCGGCGGGTCGTTTGGATAGGGGCTCCGCTGGACGACTGATGAGGAGGCGGATTTCGCCGATGGTGTGTGTGAACAAGAACTGGCATCAGGGTGCAATAATAAGCTACTTTCGCTAATCATACACCCCACCCCGTCAAGTCTAACTAAGAAATTGAATGAGGATCTTCTGCACTAGCAGCTCGCCCTCACCTAGATGTGGCTCCTCCATTTCGGGTGCGCCCTGCCGTTCCCTTGCCTCTTGGTCTCTTCTCGTCCAACTATGAAATTGAACCAACCAACCAACCACCCCGTCACTTCTCTCTTGCATCTTTTTGGTCGCTCTTAAAATTATATACACTTGTTGAAGTTCAGGTGGTAGCTGCTAACACCGCATCCCAAGAAATGGAAGGGATATTCTGAACTGTTAAGAGCATGCTAAGGCATCGCAAATGCTGGTGTATTCCCTTGCATGTTCACCAGCCTTGCGTATTCGCCAGCCTTGGCCATAAGCTGTGCATGTGTGCCCACCTGGTAACAAAGAGACACACAGAATGGTAAGTTAAGGACGAATACAGCTCTCTTCTACCAGTAACAAGCAACCCTCCAGTCAATCCCACAATCTCAATGCCACATGGCGAAACTCACTTCTGTGATTCTGCCATGGGCCATGACCACAATGCGATCTGCTGCTTGGATCGTCGAAAGCCTGAAACAGAGAGCAGGAAAGAAAAACAGAAGAGGGCGGGTTCAGATCAGAGGACGCACGCTGGAGGGGATCCAGGGAGAAAGGAGAAAGGGGTGGGCCCACGACAACAAAAGTGAGTGGAGGAGTGTGGATGGGTGGAGGCGAGAGTTAAGTGAGTGCTGTTGTACGTTTGAGACAGTACCATGCACAGAACACAACAGAACAGCAGCATGGGACCACACCATGCGCTCACTGCAACCACAGGCAATGCATCGCCTAATATATCCACTCACACCCACTTCACACCACACCTAGCAAACCACGGTGCGATCGTGCCCGCCATTCTTCCCTCACTTCATGCCAACCACATGCCATCTCACCTGTGTGCCAACCACATGCCATCTCACCTGTGTGCCAACCACATGCCATCTCACCTGTGTGCCAACCACATGCCATCTCACCTGTGTGCGATCACAATCACGGTGCGATCGCGCCGCCCATTCTTCCCCCGCTTCATTGCCTCATCCAGGGCTGCCTGCACGTTCCTCTCGCTCTCCACATCCAGGGCGCTCGTCGCCTCATCCAGAATCAGAATCCTTGGGTCTCGCACCAGTGCCCGGGCAATCGCGATTCTTTGCTTCTGCCCGCCGCTCAGCCGCGAGTTGTCCACCACTGTCGCGTAGCCCTCGGGCAGCTCCGAAACGAAATCGTGCGCGTTGGCAGCGCAGGCCGCCCGCGTGATTTCCTCGTGGGACTTTTCCCGGCTGCCCGTGCCGTACGAGATGTTTGCTGCCACGTCTGTGCTGAAGAGCCGGGGCTCCTGGCTTACCACCCCCATCTGCCCGCGAAACCATTTGGTGTCAACCTCCTTTAGAGGAACGCCATCAATAAGAATCTGGAGAAAAAGGGGGGGGGAGTGAACGGAGAGAGAGGAAGGTAAGAGGCGAGAAGCCACATAGACCCATAGTGAGAGGTGAGAAGCCGCAAAGACCCATAGCTGTACAGGTCTTTGCATGCAACACGCCTTGCCTCTTCTTGGATCGGTTGATAGAGCTGCTGCTGCAGCAGCCTCACCAGGGCGTGCTCTTCCCCTCTGCTGCTCAGCCGCGCCAAGACATGAGGCGCCCAGTAGCATGGCCCTTTTGCCTCAGCCCAAACTCGCTCGTGAGCCCCCCATCGCCTCTCCCTGTGTGCGTTTGAAGTGCTGATGTAGCAGCCCAACCAGCTTGCTCTTCCCATCCCACCGCCCCTTCCCACTGCCCTTCCCACTGCCTTTCCCACTGCCCTTCCCACTGCAGCAGCGCAACCCCAGTCCCTAAACCCTACCACCCCTCACCTCTCCCTCTGTGGGCTCGTAGTGCTGCTGCAGCAGCCCCAGAAAGGTGCTCTTCCCCACTGCCCTTCCCACTGCAGCAACGCAACCCCACTCCCTAAACCCTACCACCCCTCACCTCTCCCTCTGTGGGCTCGTAGTGCTGCTGCAGAAGCCCAACCAAGGTGCTTTTCCCACTGCCGCTCAGCCCCACTAGTGCCACCAGCTCGCCTGGGTTGATGGTGAGGTTGATGTGCGAGAGCACAGGGACCTGCTCAAAGGGAGGGAGGGGGAGGGGGGACGGAGGGAGGGGAGAGGGGGAGGGAGGGGAGGTCGTGGCATGTCATGTTCGCCCCACAGCCCCAACAGTGCCACCAGCTCGCTTGGGTTGATGGTGAGGCTGATAAGCGAGCGCAGGGGGTGGGGCGGGGGGGAATGATCGTGGCTTTGTAGTGTTTGCCTCGAAGCCCCACCTGTGCCATCATGAGCTCACCTAGGAAGATGGCAAGGCAAACCTGCAGTAGCACAGGGCCAGACAGAGCTTGAGAGGGGAGGGGGATAAGTAGAAGGCAGGGAGAGGTGACTATTCAAAACATCTGTCCCCCTCCCCCCCCTGTATAAATACACCCCATGAGTTTCTGGAAATGCTGTGCTGGCGTGTCCTGCAGGTACTAACGTGTCAACACTATGTGTGGACCACATGCTTGTAGATACAAATGAATATCCAATCCCCTTCCACCAGTCACACACTCTGGGACTCGAGCTCACCTCGGGTCGCGTTGGGTATCGGAAAGACACGTTCTGGAAGTCAATCTTCCCCTGCAGCCATGGCATGCGCACACCTGGAGGCACACCATGGGGTTGCAGAAAACAATCGTGGCACAATCAATAAGGCCTCGCGTGAAACAGGTGCTGCTGAGGGTGCGAAAGATCCAGCAACTGAAACACGCACCTGCGTGCTGCGCCCAGGAAGCCCATGAGCCCATGAGCCCATGAGCCCATGAGCCCATGAGCCCATGAGCCCATGAGCCCATGAGCCCATGAGCCCATGAGCCCATGAGCCAAACCAAGTGGTCAGTCGCCCACACACCATGTGGCATGGCCCGTTTCAGCAGGCCATACCTCGTCATGCGATCAGCAGGCCATACCGCGTCATGCGATCAGCAGGCCATACCTCGTCATGCGATCAGCAGGCCATACCTCGTCATGCGATCAGCAGGCCATACCTCGTCATGCGATCAGCAGGCCATACCTCGTCATGCGATCAGCAGGCCATACCTCGTCATGCGATCAGCAGGCCATACCTCGTCATGCGATCAGCAGGCCATACCTCGTCATGCGATCAGCAGGCCATACCTCGTCATGCGATCAGCAGGCCATACCTCGTCATGCGATCAGCAGGCCATACCACGTCATGCGATCAGCAGGCCATACCTCGTCATGCGATCAGCAGGCCATACCTCGTCATGCGATCAGCAGGCCATACCTCGTCATGCGATCAGCAGGCCATACCTCGTCATGCGATCAGCAGGCCATACCTCTTCATGCGATCAGCAGGCCATACCTCGTCATGCGATCAGCAGGCCATACCTCGTCATGCGATCAGCAGGCCATACCTCGTCATGCGATCAGCACAAGGACACACCTTTCTCTTGAGACAGCTGCTGCGAGCGCGGCAGGTCTAGCAGTTGAAACACGCGGCTGCAGGCACCCAGGGAGTCCATGAGGGAGGCCCAGTGGTCGCCCACCCACCACGTGGCATGCACCACCCACTCCGCGTACAGAATGAACTGCGTCAGCTGCTCCGCTGTTATGGCTCCCGACATCACTGCACTGCCACCCATGATCAGCGCCAGGACCTGAAAGTGCATCCATACACGGGTCACGGGTGCAGGCATGCAGAGTGAAAGAACGACCTGGGTGAGCTGCTCTGCTCTGCTCTGCTGTTTTGCCCCCAGCATCACTGCACTGCTGCCCATGATCAGCGCCAAAACCTGAGGGGGACGAGGACTGGAGGGGAAGCAAGGCGTTCGGACGGGGGAAAAAACGTGACATGGCATTGGCATGACATGGCACAGCATGGGACCGCACATACCTGCATAGCATGGCATGGCATCATGGCACATACCTGCATGGCATTGTTTGGCGTTGTTCCCAAAGTTCAACATGCCATAGGCCACAAACGCCATGCCTCACATGGCATGGCACATCGGCAATGTGCCATGGCACGGCATGACTTAACACACAAATGGCATGGCACACCACCATACAAGGCATGGCATTGCATGGCATGGGATGGCATGGGATGGCAGGGCCCAGACCTGCGTGGCATTGTAGATGGTGTTGTCCCCAAAGTTCCACATGCCGTACGCCACCAAACACAAGGCATGGGATGGGATGGGATGGCATGGCATTGTATGGCAAGGCATTTCACACACCTGCGTGGCATTGTAAATGGGGGCAAGTCCCACAGATCCATACCTGCGCGGCATTGTAAATGGGGGCAAGTCCCACAGACCCATACCTGCGTGGCATTGTAGATGGTGTTGCCGCCAAAGTTCCACATGCCATACGCCACCGACCGCCGGAGACCCACATGCTGCAGACGCTGCAGCGGTACCTTGTACCTGGTGGGGGTGGGGGAGAAAGGGCAAGAGAGAAAGATATGGTACAAGACGGTGAGGTTAAAGCGTGAGACCCACGCGCTGCAGAGGCACCTTGTATCTGGTGGGTTTAGGCGAGGGGGAAGAGGGGGAGGGTTTGCAGAATCTACATGGGAGAACCAGCGAAGGTACCAGGAGAGGAGGGAACGAAATGAGGCTAAAGCACAAGACCAATGCGCTGGAAAGTCACCGGCACCTCGTACCTGGAGGGAGGGGGACAAGGAAAAGGAATGAGAGCGCGCATTTAGCAGCACTCAGAAGCAGCACTTGGCAGAACCCCGGCAGCACTTGGCAGGACTTAGCATGACTTACAAAAGCCCCATCAGCACTTAGCAGCACCTAGCTACACCCACCTGTTTACTTCCTGCTGCTCTGTGCCAAAGGTGCGAACCACTCGAGCCAAGGAGATGGTCTCCTCCGCTACCTGCACCAGACAGCAACATGGGTGTGACAGTGAAGTCAATGTGACACAAAGGAGGTGTGCCAAAACAGCGGATTGATAGTCAGTGGTACAGTATTCTGACAACAGGGGCAATATGGAGGCAGGATGCCATGCTCTTACCTCATTCGCTGATGCGACTGTGTCTTGGATGAGACGAGCACTCTCCCTCTGGAACCTGCATTCGCATCGCCATTCCCATGCGCACACATGCGCACACATGCGCACACATGCACACACATGCACACACATGCACACACATGCACACGCATGCACACACATGCACACACATGCGCATTGCCATGCACGCAAGAGCGCACCACATGAGGCCACATCAGAGACGAGAGATGAAGCCATGCGTAAGCCCTCATGAGTGGAGGTGTAAGAGGGGGTTTGAGGCACGAACCTCCGTGCCACATACCTGCCGTCCGCCACGTCACAGCACTACATGAGGTCGCACAGCCCATCGGGGATGAGCGCCATGCGCCAGCATCCATACCATGCGCCCTGCTTTATCCCATATCCCTTTTTCCCTCACAGCATACCTGCCGTAAGCCACGAGGAAGCACCACATGAGGCCACACAGCCCAGCAGAGATGAGCACTGCTGCATGAGAGAGAGCGCAGAGTGCCCTTATCCCTGACTCACAACATCCCTGCCGTACACGGCGAGGCGAGGCACCACATGAGGCCGCACAGCCCAGCAGAGATGAGCGCCATGCGCCAGGAGAGGCGGATGAGGAAGCAGAGCGCGCCCAGCCCCTGCAGCGCGTTGCACGATCCCCTGCTGAAAACAGAGAACAGAGTGCCCTTAAAGGCAGTGGCGCACTGAACCCTCACAACGTACCTCCCATAAGCCACGAGGCAGCACCACATGAGGCCGCACAGCCCCGCGGAGATGAGCGCCATGCGCCAGGAGAGGCGGATGAGGAAGCAGAGCGCGCCCAGCCCCTGCAGCGCATTGCGCAGCATCACGTTCACGTCCCCCGCCGTGCTCTGCGCCACCTGCTGGCAGTCCGCGCCCAGGCGAGATGTGAGGTCGCCCACTGACTCCTTGTCGAAGAATGACACGTCCTGGGGAGGGAGAACGGGCAGGGAGGAGGGATGAGAGAGGAGGGAACGAGAGCGCAGCATCACGTTCACGTCCCCCGCCGTGCTCTGCGCCACCTGCTGGCAGTCCGCGCCTGGGGCAAGACGTCAGGTCGCCCACCGATTCCTTGTCGAAGAATGACACGTCCTGGTGAGGGAGAAAGGGCAAGGATGACGGAGCGGAGAGGAGGGATGAGAGAGCGAATCATCGCATTCACGTCCCCTGCTGTGCTCTGCGCCACCTGCTGGCAGTCCGCGCCCAGCCAGGTCGTCAGATCGCCCACTGATTCCTTGTCGAAGAAACTGACGTCCAGAGCGTGTTTGGGTGTTTGGAGGGGGGAGGTGGGGGAGGCGGGAGGGGTGGCGGCTGTGGTTTAGAAAGTTGAGACATGTGGTGCATGAACAATTATCAAGATCAGCGATCGCACATACCTGGTGCATGATGGTGGAGAACAGCGCTCCTCTCATGCGGCGCACCATGCGCATGTTGAGATGTAAGCTGGATGGCGCATTCTGTATGCTGGCTGTAGAGGGCATCAGGTGTCATCGCCGTACCTGGTGCATGATGGTGGAGAACAGCGCCTCTCGCATGCGGCACACCATGCGCATGTTGAGAACCGTGAAGCAGAACGACCGCAGCCCACTGCATGTGGGCAGAGGGGGAGAGCAAAGGGAATGGGAGGAGGGGAGAGGGGGGAGGGGGGAGGGGGGAGGGGAGCGAGAGGAGAGGAGAGTGGTTGAGTGATCAAACAGCACACACCATGCACGTGTGTGAGAGCTGCCAAGCAGAACGAGCGCAGCCCACTGCACGTGGGGAGAAAGAGAGAGAGAGAGAGAGAGAGAGAGAGAGAGAGAGAGAGAGAGAGAGAGAGAGAGAGAGAGAGAGAGAGAGAGAGAGAGAGAGAGAGAGAGAGAGGGAGGCCGACAAGTAGATTTACCATCATCGTAACCGCGCACCTTATGTCGGTTTCTTCCCCTTGGCCGTGGAAACCTATGGCTGCCCCTGCGCCGAGGTCCCCGATTTTCTAAAGCTGCTGGCGGACACGGGGGCAAGACGGCTTTTCAACGCGGACCCGAGCTCCTACCAGGCGGCGAAGCTCCTTCATCAGTTCCGTCAGCGCTGGTCCGTCACGCTCCAGCGGGCGCAGGCCCTGGCCTACCTCGGGAAGGTCAATGAGGCTGCCCCTGCAGAGTACCCCCCCGTGGGTACTCCCGACGCCGTCATGGGCCTAGGGGACTGTTTTGCCATAGCGGAGCCCCTCGGGGAGCTCCAGTAGTCCGGCTGCCCACCCCCAGCATACACGTACCTTAGCTATGCTTTGCAGTTTGCCCGCATGCCAGTTTGTACTACGTTCCGATCAATACAAGGACCGCTTGAGAGAGAGGAAGAAAGCACAGACCCACATGCATTGCACACAGTGAAAGCACCAACGCCGCACACACCTGAACGCGCCGCAGGCGAGCGTGAGCGCCACGAGCAGCTTGGCATTGTGGGCGAACTGCGCCCTCATGCCATTGGAGGCAGCAAAGATGGTGGACGCCAGCAGATGCGGAATGGTCACCTCTGATATCTGCCACGTGGCACACAGAGAGGGACAAAGTCAGGTGACCAATAAGACTCAAACAGATTTACACCCAAAACTGCTTCGCGTTCACGCAAGCATTTCTTACAGACAGACATCTTTTGCATACAAGCATTGTCCACATGCAAATTCGGCAACTTTCTTTCGAATGCCCCATCCCATCCCATGGCCCCCATGCGAACATTCCCTTTTCCCCTGCTTTACGTCCCATAACCCCCAAGCAGCAGCCACTCACAGCAGCAAACGACAGGAAGACGAACGCAAGGACCACAAGTCCCTTATCCGGCGCACAGAAACGCCAAAGCTTGCCGCCCGCATCACTCAGACTCCCCACCCCCTCAGCTTCCGCAGTCCCCGCTCCGCCCTTCACCTTGCCCTCACCTTCCTTGGCCTCCGACCCCATCTGCTTCCCCCCCTTCTTCCCCTGCCCCTGCCCCTCCTCCCCATTCTCCTCCATGCGCCACCAGCGGCCATAAGGCAAGGCGGACCGCAGCACAACCGCTACCGCCACCACCTGCGCTACAGCTCGCAGCACGGCCGCGCGCGCAGCCTCAAGGGGCCCGCCCCCAGTTCCCCCTTCCGCAGCAGCAGCCGCTCCGCCCGCGCCGTCTACGGCGGACTGCCTATGCCCTGGCCCGGCACCGTTGGCGGCGCCGTTGGCGGCGGAGTGAGCATGCTCTGTCTCTCGCGCCTGAGCGGCCTCTTCCTCGTTCTCGTATTTGCTCCACGCGCTGCTGTCCGCGTCCCACGCCCACGGCATCACGTCCGAAAACGGGTACTCGTGCTGTCCCATCCAAGTCACCTGCCCGTTCACCTGGCCGTTGACATTGCCGTTGACATTGCCGTTCGCCTGGCCGTGCACTTTGCCGTTCGCCTGGCCGTTCACATGTCCGTTGACTTTGCCGTTCACCTGGCCGTTCACTTTGCCGTTCGCATGGCCGTACACATGTCCGTTGACTTTGCCGTTCCCCTGGCCATTCACCTGGCCGTTTGCCTGGCCATTGACGTTGCCGTTCACCTTGCCGTTCACGTTGCCGGAGCTCTGACCGTTTAGCCAGCCGTTTACCTGGCCGTTAACCTGACCGTTGACCTTATCGTTCGCATAGACGTTGATCAACCCGTGTCCCCTGCCATCCGTCCGATCATCCACCAATCGACGGCTGCCAGGGAGCGGAAGTCCCTCCTCCCGTCGCGGCTTGCAATTGGCGCGAGCCTGCTCGGATTCCTCCAACTCCCACGAGGAGCCTCCCGTGCCGCCTCTTCCGGGACCCTTATCGTCGCCCAGAGCCCAGTCGCGGGGACTGCTGCCGTCCGCCGTCTCACACACCACCAAGCCCTTCCCGCTGCTGCCGCCTCTCCAGGCCTTCGCGGGATTCCCGCCGTACCTTGCGCGCCTGTTGGTCCTGGGTTTGCCGCGGGTTCTGCCATTGCTTCCGAGCCTAGAGGGGCCACCATTGTTTCCGAGCCTCGTGTAGCTGGCGTGTGCCAAAGGTACGGTTCTTGGCTTGGAAGTGATGCGGTGAAGGCCGAACCTAGATGAACTAAAAGTATCAGAAGAGGTACCGTGAAGTGAGGTAGCACTAGGATTCTGAACTTGGTAGCAGCGGAGAGGATCTGAACGAGCTAGGTAAGCTACAGTATGTCCGCGTTTAAGAGAAGAAGCGTATTGACGAGCTTCCGTTGGAATCCCGGGTATGCCGGAAAATACTGACGGGGAGCCGTTTCCATGCCTCGTTGCTAATGCTAATCCGTAAGACGTGGTTGGTGAATGCCATGATGCGGTGTAAGACACCATATGCAAGACTGAATCCGACTGTAACGAGAACGAACTGACCACTCACGATCAGTCGGTTCCTAGGAAACCTTCTGCTCCGAGAAGCAGCAAGAATGCCCGACTTAGATGCGTCGAAAAGATGCTCCGCAGGAGTAACGCGGGTTTCGGGTATTCCTAAGGGGGTTCGCTATCCCTCCGCGAAGCACGGAACGTGGATGTAGAGGACAGATGCAATGACCGTCTCGATCGCCATAGCTTTTGGCTAACCGAAAGCAATTCCAAGAGATTTCGAGCCACAGTCAAAGCTCCACGACAATGGTTAGGCAGATACAAGAATAGCTGATTACGAGAAGGCTAGGGAAGACCGAAGGGAAGCCAAAGCTTCAACAAGGGAGACGTAGTATGGAGCTCAGGAAACGGATGAATTCAAGGTGTTGCTGTGTAGAGTGATCTGGTGGTGACGAGTGCCTTCGATGTCGCTGTCATAGGCTGTGATCAGGTATCAGGTAGGAAGCAGGGCTTGGGTTGGGGGTGCATCAGACTTGGGTAGGGTGAGCGAGAGAGGGGGGATGGGGAGTGACATGACATGACAAAACCAGAAGCGAAGTAGCCGTTGAGCTTGGGGGTCCCGTTGCCGAACCTATCTCCTGTCGCGGTCTCTGCCTTGAGGGCTTGGTGAATGCCGGTCTGGGTCGAGGTTCGGAGAAGGTGTATTACTGTAGGGGACAGGAAAGCAGAGCTCCGTGTCACCCATGGCGGAAAGGTGGCTCATCTGTCGAATCAAAGGTCAGACCCCTTGTGTGCGATTGGTCGTGAAGATTCATTGGCACCATGCCGTGTGGGGTTTTTAGGTTACCGGTAACCCTTACTAGCTTTTTAATTTTTGGGATCACGTTTAGCCCCTATTATGGAAGGGTTTCTCGCCGATCAAACCCCCCAGGGACAGTTTTTTGTTCTTTGAGGTTATTTCTCTCCACAGCGAACCACGTGTAACAATCTCCTTAATCTTGGGCAGAGGGCAGAAACAATAAAACCCTTATGGGCCTGGCATGGCATTCTGGATGGCATCAACCCTAAACTCGAAAAAGGGCCACGAATTTAGGGTTGATGCCAACCAGAATGGCATACTCGCCCCTATGGGTTTTAGTTTTTTTCTTGCCAGCTAGCCTGCCCGAATGTTGTCAGCTATTTTCAGTAGCGCTACAGATCCCACAATATCGCAGGAAAACAGAGTTCAGTAGCCCCAAAGTGACGGAGCAAGGAGATTGTGACGCGTGGTTTTCTGTGGTGCGAACTAACCTCAAAGAACAAAAAACTGGCCCGGGAGGGTTGGAACAATGAAAAGCCCTTCCGTGAAAGGGCTAAATGTTACTCGAAAGAGTAAAACTCCAGTAAGGGTTACCGCTAACCTAAAAACCCATGCCGTGTGTGATCGGTTCGCGAACGGTGGCCGCGTGGCGACGTGTGAACGGGACTCGCGAAAGTTCTATGATTGCATCGCGTCGCATTATCCTTCGCGCAGCCAAGGCCCGCGCCGCGACGCCAACATCTGCCCCGGCCAGCACGTGACCACAGCTGGTTCGTTGGGTATGGCCTGGCCGAGACGTTCGGTTAGGCGTAGTCGAGGTAGGTGAAGGTTCGCTGAACCACATGGAAAAGTACGCATGGCGTGCGTCAGAAGCTAGCTTCACGCGTCATCGCACACCGCAAACTTGGTGTGAGAACATCTCCGAACAAACCGAAGCACCTCTTTCCACGTATGCAGCAAAACTCTTTGGTAGCGTCCTCGGTATCACGGAAAGCGGGAATGACCACACAGGCTTACACTACGCGGGTATTAATTTTGGCTCTCTCTAGTGACGACAACTGCCTAAAATGAGCTTAGGGTTGATGCCTCCCCAATGACAACCAGGTTCCCCTGGGAGTTTATATTTGTTGTTGCTTGTTTATATTCTTATGTTACCGAATGTTACCGAGTGCGGCTGATCTTTTGCCCCCTACGAAAAGGTCTGGCTAATTTCCATCATGAATGGGTTAGATGTGTGGATATAATACCCACCAAAGTTCATATGCTTTACATGAAGTTGTTATAATCCACGACAAGCATGCTAGAGATTGTGGAATTAATGTATGTTCCATTCAATCTTCACGATAGCATTACGTATATCATTCTATCTACCGGTACTTGAGCAACAAATTGCTTATTGTTGCCAACAAACAGAATTATCTAAGCTAGCTAGTTTATATTCGTTATAGCCTTAGTTAGGTCAGTTCTTAGAGGTTACAGTCCTACCTTTGTAACCCTCGACATTTTCCCTTAGCTCCATCATTCTCTCGACAAACTAAAAGGGCAACTAGAGCTAGGTCTCGCCCTCTACTCACGCTTCCGCCCTAGTACACCCTAGCCTAGCGTGCCTCGGCCCTAATTGCATGCCTCGTAGCTCGTCCCCTCCCAGCCCTCTCCTCTTCGTCGCGTAGCTCACGCCACCCGCCACTGGCCCGCGCCCGCCAGCGCCTTAGTTCGTAGCCATCCCGCATGCTCGCCTGCTTGCCAGCCCGCCAACCCGCCAGCCCGTCTGCTGACTTGCTCACCTGCCCGCCGGCCCGCCTGCTCGCCAGGCACCCAGCCCGCCTGCTTGCCAGCTCGCACGCTCGCCTGCTTGTCAGCCAGCCAGCCCGTCTGCTCACCAGCCCGCCTGCTCGTCTGCTCGCCAGCCCGTCAGCACGCCAACCCACCAGCTCGTACCTTCATGGTCCATGCCAGTGCACCCCATTTTCTGTGGCCGTTCGCTGTGCGCTATGCTGCTCACCAGCTTAACCTATGGTCGCGCTCCCAGCGGCCAAAGGTTTCGCCGGCCCTCCTCTGGACCTGGTTTCCTTGTGATGCTTCTGTGTTCCACGTCTTGGGCAGCATTGCTCAAGTCCGCGACATTGGCGCGGAGAAGCTCTCAGCCCGCACCCTTCTTTGTGTCTTCCCGGGGTTTTTGTTTGACGCCTCTGAGTGGCTGTTCTACCATCCATCACACCACCGCTTTTACCACTCTCATGACGTTACCTTTGATGAGACACTCCCCTACTACCGGCGCTTCCCGCATCGCAGCGCTCCTGTGCCACACCACTCAGTTCCCCTCGGTTGCACCTGCGGGGGAGTCTGCTGACTCTGGGGGCCCACCTGCTGGAGGCGCGTCTGCTGTCCCTATGGTGCCTCCCCCAGCCTCACTACCCCAGGGACCTCAGCCGCCTCCTCCGTTGCCTCAACAGCAGTAGCCGTCGCCGCAGCAGACTTAGCGGCCGCAGCAGCAGCAGCAGTAGGGAGTAGTGGGCTCTAGGGGTGCCAGTTCTTGGGGTGCTGGTGCTGGCGGTATTGGTGTTGGGGGTGCTGGTGTTCGTAGAGTTGGTGTTGGGGGTGCTGGTTCTGGGGGTGCGAGTTCTAGGGGTGCTGGTTCTGGGGATGCGAGTTCTGGGGGTGCTGACTCCAAGGGTGCTGGTTCTGTGGGTTGTGCGTCTTAGGGTGCTCGTCTTGGGGGTGCTGTCTCGGGGATTGCCGGTGGCAACCGCGGTGGCGCTGGAGGTCTTGGAGAGGACAAGGAGCAACCGCAGCAGCAAGCGCAGCCGTCGCTGCAAGAGCAGCCGCAGTCTGCCCTTCGTCTCCTTGGTCATGCTCCAGGTTCCCCTGTCCGCCCGCCCGTTCTCTCTCCAGTGCGTGACCCTGTTTACGGCCCGTTGTTCCCTCCTCCGGACTCCTCTCTGGCTCGTTTTCCCCCGCGCTCCCCTCCGTCTTGTCCCCCGTTCCCCCTCGTCCCCAATCCCCACTTCTTCCCCACTAGGTCCGCCGCCCCTCTGGTGCTCGTCCATTCTCTCCCCGTCGTAGTGTCCACCCTATGGTCCTCCGCTCTTGTGCTTTTCCAGTCCCCGTACTTCCGTTACCTCCTCTGTTGTCACTCCCGCCGTACCCTCCTCCTCTCTGATGCTGCTCGTATTGCTCGTCCTACCCTCTCGCGCTTGCTTACGTAGTTTGTGAGTGACCCTACTGCTCCTCCTAACTTTGTCTCTGCGCTTGTTGCTGCTATCGCTAACTTTGCTGCTAGCCGCCGCCTTGACTACTTTGCCGCTCTGGTATTGCTCGTCCTCCATCCATCGGGGGTGCACCTGCCCTTGGTAGTGACGTGCTAGAGGACAGGCAATACGAGTTGGCCTACCTTGCTGCCGCTGTTCCCCATCTCTGCTCCATGCTTGTATTCCCAGAGGGCGACCGAGACGCTCTCAACATTCCTGTTCCGCGCGCTTACGCTGAGGCGGTGTCGGGACCCTGGGCAGCCCAGTGGATATAGGCCATGGAGGCTGAGATGGCATCCTACAGATCCACAGGCACTTATGTCGACGCCGTTCCCCCACCTGGGGCGAACGTAGTCGATGGCATCTGGATCTACAGGGTGAAGCGCGCACGTGGAGAGTCGCCGAAATTCAAGGCGCGTTACTTGGCTAGAGGCATCAGTCAGCCTGAGGGTGTAGACTTCTTCCAGACCTTCTCCCCGACCCTGAAGATGACTACTCTTTGGGTCCTTCTCCACATAGCAGCGCAGCGTGACTACGAGCTTCACTCACTCGATTTCTCCACAGCCTTCCTGCAGGGTAGTATGCATGTGCAGATCTACCTCCGACGCCCACTCGGCTTCTCTGGGTCCTTCCCACCTGCGACCTAGTGGAGCCTACTTTGCCCTATCTATGGCCTTCGTCAGGCACCTCGTGAGTTGCACGACATGCTTTGCACCACTCTTGCTGAGCTGCGATTCTTTGTTCGTTTGGGTCAGACCCTGTTCTACATCCTAGTGTACGATCTTAACTTTGCTACTCCTGAGAGACGCACTGGCCTCAGTGAAGGCCGAGTTACTTAGGAGACACACCTATACAGAGTTAGGGGAACTGAGATGCTATCTGGGCTTGGAGATCTCTCGTGACCGTGCCGCTCGCACGATCACACTCTCCCAGTCCCATATGGTGTAGCAGATCATCCAGAGGTTCAGTCTCCAGTTCTCCTCAACACATCCCACCCCTCTGCCTGTGGATCACAAGCTCTCTGCTCCTGTTCCGGCTGAGCCGGTCGAGGCTAGTGGTCCATATGCAGAGCTGGTGGGGTGCCTCATGTACAGTACCTGATGACCTGCTCTCGACCAGATCTAGCGTACCATCTCAGTCTCCTGGCTCGCTTTGTCGTGACCGGCAGGCACCGAACAGTCCACTGGTCGGCTGCCAAGAGGATACTTGGATATCTGGCGAGTACATCAGGATTGGGGCTTGCGCTAGGAGGACGGAAGCCAGTGGTGCTCAGTGGACACACAGACGCATCGTGGGCCAACGACTTGGAGACGCTCAGGTCGTCTCAGGGCTACTGTTTTAGTCTTGGTGCTGGTGGAGTCTCGTTGAGGTCCACCGGGTCATCATCTTTAGCACAGTC